GGTTTCTATTGCTGTGTTGAAAATATTATGACCAAAAATCGAGTTGTGGAAGAAAGGGTTTATTCAACTTACACTTCCATATCACTGTTCATCATTGAAGGAAGTCAGGACAGGAACTCAAACAAGGCAGGGACCTGGAGGCAGGAGCTGATGCAGAGGCCAAGGAAGAGTGCTGCTTATTGGCTTGCTTCCCATGGCTTGCTCAGCCCACTTTCTTATAGAACCCAGGACCACCAGCCCAGGCATGGAACCACCCACAATGGGCTGGACCCTCCCCCATCAATCACTAATTAAGAAAATGCCCTGCAGGAGGAGTTTTCTCAGTTGAGGTTCCCTCCTCTCAAATGACTTTAGTTTGTGTCACATTGATATAAGATTAGTCAGCATAACAAGGAAGGAAGCTGAGCCTTGAGGAAGGTCAACCTACATGACCTGACTGCAAACCTGGATCTCCAACCCCCATCCCCACACCGCCTCCTAGCTGTGATCCAAGCCACTTATCCCAGCCTCATAGTTAACTGTAGTTTTCAGAACCAGCTAGCCTGCCCTCTATGCCCTGTAGCCTCAGGATCACAGGCTGAAATGAGCAGGTGAAAGCTGAGATTAGGTTGTAGCCAGGCTATAATACAGGCTCTGACTGTGACGTTCCCTTTGGGTTGGCCTAACGTCCCTGATGCGGCTTGTTGTAGACACACAGGGCACAGATAGACCCTTCTGAGGTTTATTTTGTCTTTGGTCCAGGCTCCTTTCCTTTTTCTAAAACAGAAATCTGTAGAGGAAAGACTCCAAGATTGTCAGTGATACCAGAGCATGTGTGAGCCACAGCACACACCAGTGACAGTGTACCAACAGGGTTCTTTCCATGTGCCACATAGATGGCCTCTGCCCTGCCAGCCACTCTGCAGAGCAGAAATTATTGTGTCCTGAAAGCCCAGAAAGCTCTGGCCATTCGGCATCATCCTGTGGGTGTGGGAGCCACTAGGCACAGTCAGGAAGCAGTAACCAGGCTTAACTCGATAGGTTCACAGTGGACAGAGCCCACCTCAGCACAAGACACAGTGAGAAAGTGGATGGTCTGTTTTCCAGATAACTATCCCTGCCCCACGCCTCAGTTTCCATGCTTGTAGAATGAAGACCAAAGGTATGTACAACCTTGTGGGTTGCAGGGAGGATCCAGGGTGTTAATACTTAGTAATTCCTGAGAGCAGAGGCTGCTGTGGTACAAGGCTCTCCCCACAGAAGCCAGCCAGGGATAGAAGCCCTAGGTTCAAGCCCCTCCACCATCAATCTCATTTCTAGGTCCATCGGTCATGTGACTAAGCTCTCCTGTTGTTGGGTCTCTGTGCTATATGTGGAGGACATAGGGCTGAGCAAGACAAAACCCTGGCTGGGGAGGGTTACAAATGTCTGTGGTTCCAACATTTGGGGAACTGAGGCAAGAAGACAATCGTGAGTTTGAAGCCAGGATGGGCTGCCTAGTGAGTTCAAGACAAGCCATGGCTACAGAGGGAGGCTCTGTCCAGGAATCAGATGCTACCTTCCCAGGGCAGGAGATACTGAGTGAGTGAGGGGCCCAGCAGGCAAGCCACAAGGTGCTGTCATGAACAGGTTATCTGTGCTAGGGACAGGGGATCTGTTCAGGCCATACAATGGTCAGGATGGCAAGAGGGCAATCAGGAGCAGGAAGACAGAGCTCAGGTCAACCAAAGGCAAGGAGCCAGGTTAGGGACAATGTGTGCTAATGAGATAATGCTGCGTAGGGAGCCAGGCACCAGGTATACAGTAGACACTCAGCAAATACAATCTGATTCACAAACATGATAGACGCTCATTACTCCAATGCTGAGCTGTGTAGTTGTGGAAGGGAGGGACGTTCAGCACCTCGGAGAGCTCAGCCCTAGGCCGTTGACTAGAACCAGCCAGGATCCCCAGCCCCACCCCATTCCTGAATCTGAGTGTCATTTCCCACCAGCAGTGAATATTATTATCATTCTACACCACTGAAAAATGTCGTGGCTGGGTCACTGAATGGCACTGCTGAGATCCCAGTGCCCAGAACACACTCACAGCTTGCAGGAGCCAGCATTGCTGATGGAGACCCCCCCTTGGAACTGGGTCAGGTCTTCTCTTCCCCGGAGCACAAAGCCACCTCTTTTCTCCTCAGCTACTCCACCAGGTGGGGCTTTTGCGTCCTTGGAGAGAATAGTCTGTGCGTTTTACTCCCACCCTCCTTATTCCAATAGTCTAAATTAAAAAATCAAATTGGTGGAGCCTTTCCCTAGAGGCTTTCTCAGCCCTTTGTGTCAGCTTCCCATTAAGATAAAAATCCTTCCTGAGTGTTCCCTTCGCTTGCTCAGACACCATGGTTACTAGGACAAAGAGACCCGAGCGGGATGCAGAATAATTTTTTTTCTTTCTTTTTCCTTTTTGGTTGTTGTTCCTGTTGACTTTCTCATGCAGGGTGTATACCAAACAGCCTCTGGCCTACATAGAGCCAGGCAGACCGTGAGCTTGTTAGACAAAGGGCGTCTCCATGTGGACAGCACAGCCACCAGCTAGAGTGCCCCAGCAGAGAAGGAAAAGGAGAGAGTGCAGATCAAAGAGTGCAGATCTCTCATCTGGGATGGAAAGAAGATTTGAAAAGTGGTGCTCAACCTTGGACCATGAGGCAGTATGGTAAGGCTATCAGAGTAGTGAGCTAGAAGGGGTATGGTTATTTATTCCGATTGTGATCTTTGTATATGTTCTCAATTGTTTACATTGCTGTAATAAAACACTACCAAAAACAATATGTAGAGGCGAGGCTTTATTTCATCTTACAGCTAAATAATGCATCATGGAGAGAAGCCAAGACAGGAACTCAAGGCCGGAGCTTGAAACAGAAAACCACTGATTCGCTCTCAGGCTCACCTTCAGCTACCTTCCTCATCCAAGCCAGGCCAAACTTCCCAAGGATGGCACTGCCCACAGTGGGCCCTTCTACATCAATTGGCAATTAAGAAAATGCCTCACAGACATGCCCATAGGTCAATCCTGGGGAGGCAATTCCTCAGCCGAGATTCGCTCTTCCCAAGTGACTCTAGGTTGGTGTCAAGTTGACAGCTGAAGCTGACAGTGATACCACATGAGGGAGTCAGGCTTTAGCTAGTGCCTCATTTTTTGCTCACAAGAGGGCAGGAGGTAGAGGGTAGCATGTGCATAGCTCAGGTCAATTGGTTCACACATGATCATGGCTTGTCTCCCCAGCCACATGCATGATCTAATATGTAGATGGGAATACTAAGATGTGGGGAGACACAGTGGCCCAGAACCACACAGGTATGAAGTACCTATGCGAGGTTTGAACTCAAGTCTCTTGGCAGCCAGCCCAGGACCTGCCCACCATGCCCTATGCCACAGCTAGGCCCTTCATACTGAGCACTTCTCAAGGTAGCCTTCTCACAGGTGACCTCATCATGCCCATCCCATTATGAAGCCACAACACAGAAGCCAGTTCCCTGCCAATTGTTCTGAGAGTCTGAAAGAAGAGACTCTCCTCAGGAACTTCTGGAAAGAGCAAAGGCACAAACAGAGAAGGCCTGGTCTGGTCTTCGCTCACCTTTCTGTCCCCACACACCTGAGCTTAGGCAAGGCCCAGGAGTCCATTGCTGAAACTATGCTTTATGTTTTTATGGAATTCTGGGTTTGGGTTATAACTCAAGAGTATGGCTCAGAAGGTAAGGTTGAGGGGGTGGTGGGAAGGGCAGAGCCAGCCCCACCCTGGTCCAGCAGCATGTGATGATTTCCCTGGAGGCTGGGCTTCTCCTTCACACCTTCCAAACATCCAGTGAGTCTGCCCCTACAAACACTTTGCTGGACACTGGTACCCTAGGCATGCTGTTCTGAGCTTTTTTTTTTTTTTACTGCAAGTGTGTCTTAGTGGTCTCTTTGCCAGTGTACCCCAAGTATGTCTGCTGGAAGTGTCTGTACCACGATGACTGTGCCCATGAGTCACAGAGCATTTACAGCCCAGTGATAGGTACCAGAGATCAATCATGGTCTCCATGATATTGCATGTATGTGGTGAGCTTCCTAGGAATCAGGCTGCTGAGTCAAAGGGTGTGCCTGTGATATAGATGGTATGAAGATCCATAGCCCTCCTCAGTTTGACTTGATTTAGAATCACCATAGAAATCTATACGTGTCTATGGGTGTTTCAATGAGGGTAGTTCCAGATTGTGTAAACTGAGGTAGGAAGACCTACCCTAATGTTGGCAGTATCATCTCCTGAGCTGCGGTCCAAGACTGAATAAGAAGGATAAGTTGAGGTAAGCAGCAATATTCAACTCTCTCTGCTTCTTGACTATGGACACAGTGTGACCATTTGCTCCACACCCCTGCTACCAAGATTTCTCCACCATAACGACCTGTGCCCTGGAACTGGGCAAAACAGACTCTTTCTCTTGTGAGTGGCTTTTGCTGTGTATTTTGTCACAACCATAAGAAAAGCAACTTTGACAGATGGATTGGTGGAATGTTCCTCTCTCCATGGCTGCTCCCAGCAGTGGAGAACCCTCTCCCATAAGTACTCCCTGCCCCTGGGCCAGTAAGCATGCATGTGCCCTCTGCAGGTCCCACCACATTTGCCATAAAGGCCAGGCATCCCAGCCTGGCATCCGAGGCTCTAGAATGCCCAGCCCCACATCTGCACCCTAAAGTTCATCCAACCTGTGAAATTAGCTCTGAAAGTCAAGGATTAAAGAACAAAACAAAACAAACAAACCCAAACCAAACCAAAACAACGCCCCCTCCCCCAGCATGACCAGGCCCTTCAGATAGCCTCTCCCACGGAATCTTCTTCACACCTACTCCTTAACTATAGCAACACACAGCATGTCTCTTGGACAGAAGGAGACACAAGTTCATAGCTATAGTCGGGGAAGACAAATACTGCCCCCTGACCTGCTCTCCACGTCTCCCCAGGCACCTCACCGACAAATAAAGATCCTCTCCTTACTTACCACACCCCGGACTTTTACTCCAACAGGACCTGCCTGTATCTCCCCCAGTTTGATCCCTTCCCAAGGGCTCAAGCTTGGTGAGCACCAGGAAAGAGCACAGGTGGCTGGCTGCCCTTGGCCTGTCGATTCATTCTGTGGACAGACATTAGTATGAGGGTGTGCCAAGCCGTACACAGATGAGAGAGACAGCAGTGGGCAAAGCAATGTGGCCTGAAGAAGGTAGAATACAGTAAATGGTCAATTGACCAAATACACTTTTTTTAATTTTGGGTAAACAGGGACCCTCAAATGCCCAAGACCACCAGTGCTGCCGGCCTGCCTGGAGCCCAGGCCTGTAGAGCAGCCGGACAGTGCAGTGGCCACACCTTACGATAGGACAGTATAGCTTAAGTCAGTGCTGCCACCTACCAGTCACATCTTGTTTTTCACCTGGGAGGAGGGGCTGCCAAGAGGGAGCCACTAAGGACAACTTGGTTCTTGCCATGCCTGTGCCCAGCAAGCAGGCAGTACAAGGGATGTCACTCTAAGTTACACCCCACGGTACACGGAACCATTCAATGTGGGCGGAGCAGCTGGATAAAGGTAAATTCCGGAGAGAAATCACATCTTTCCAACGTCAATTTCAGCATCCGCACGGTTGGCTTGGGAGGCAGAACGGTATCCACGTGGGTTCCAATCCAGGTGCAAGGTGCTGGACATCTTTTTAAAAAAACGCGTTTGGGTCAAATCCCTGTGCCAGGACGCCGTGGGCGTGCCACGAAACAGCCAAGCATCGCGCGTCACTGCCCTCCCCAAGCAGTGGCGGTACCCGTCCTGTGGCCGGCCTGGCAGCAGGCCATCTCGCACCCGCCTTGTCCCTTTCAGCACCAGGCGGCGGACAGCTCCGGCGCCCTAGAAGCTCCTGAGCTAGGTAACTTCTGCATGGAGTTCCTGGAGCCAAGGACCGGGATAAGTACATGAGGCTAATCACGTGCCAGGGCCTGGGAACCATTTGGGGTGCCTTGTCCCTTCCGGAGGACACCTCATTCCCGGCCTCGGGAAGTCTGGCTCTCGCGATAGAGGCGGCACAGGACCAAATCCTGCGGCTGATTTTGGCTGCTGTCCGGCTGCACGGGTTCCGGTGGGCATTGCCCTGCAGAGGGAAGTCCGCAGTCTCCTGCTGTGGTCCTGGGGCGTGGTCACTCCGGGTTCGAGCTCCCGAATTTGGAAGAAGCTTAAGTGGGCGGGGCTGAGGGCCTGGAAGCCCCGCCCCATCCGGCGTGGGCCTGGATGCTAGCAGATCTCCCGGGCTGCCAACAGGGAGCTGTCTCGAGAAGTCTCTTTTCTAAATTATTTATACGTCTTTTTATATTTCCTGATCTCATAAGAATACGTGCTACATGATCGCTGGTGGTGGAATTAAAGCTCAGAGCAGAGTCCTTGTGCTTATCTTGTTAATGCTTTGGTGTACCTCCTCAATATTAAAGAAACGATAAAATTTAAATGACAGTTTAAACACTTGGAACAGCAAGCTCTCCTTCCACTGCCCCCCTCCAAAGGCATCCCTGCTGTGTTTGCGTATTAATGTCCAGCTTGTGTTAGGTGACCGTAAAGTAACCTTGGGTTCTTAGGCTCTTTGTGTACGTTTCTGCGCTGCCTATATCAAGGTAACGTCCCTGTAGCTCAACAACCTGGGATCATCTCTGCGGATAGATCTCAGGCTGGTGCCTTCACGTCTCTAGGGGCTCCGTCTCGATGCCGCTTAAGTGGGGATAATAACCGTGCCTGTTAAATAAGAGGATTTGGGGATTTGTGTGCACACTCTTCAAGTGTGAGTGTGGGAAGAGCACAGCAAGTGCCTTAGCTGTTGTGACCGAGGACTTCTGCGGATGTCAGAACTAATGGGCTTGTGTTCTGGCTTGGAGAGGAAGTGTCCTCCAATGATTCTTTTGTTGTGACTGGGTAGGAAGCAGCACTGTTCAGAGGTGGGCCTCTAGGATGGGATTGGCTTATGAGGGCTCTGACTGTTAATGGACTTATTCCTTCATCGTGTTATAGTTTGATGGCCATATTGGGAAGGGTGAAAATGAGAGCGTGTGGCTGAGGTGGGGGAAATGGGTCCGTGGGCAGATTTCCTGGGAGAGCAGCTGTATCTTCAGCCCCTTCCTGTGACCTTCTGCTTCCTGGCTGCTACGAGGTAAGCAGCTTTCCATCCTGCTCCTTCTGCCATGATGTCCCACCCCACCACAGTTCTTAAGGTTAGGGGAGCCAGTCAACCATGAGCCACAATGAAGAGTTCAGTTGAGTTGAGGCAGGTATGGTGGTGCATGCCTCAGCTACACAGCAAGTTTGAGGCCTGCCTGGGCTACTTGAAACTCTACCTCAAGACAAACAAGATCAAGCTGATTTTCAAGTAACTATGTGATCTGATGGAAGAAAACCAGACATTCTTTAAAGGAAGAAAGCAAAAAGTGCACTCTGCAAATAAACCATAAGGCTGGCACCCATCAAAAACTCCTAG